AACAGTGTAAACAGTGTGGCGCTGCGGTGCTTTGAAACATTTGTTTTTGTTAGAGCGACATGTCAACCTCTGGCTTTAAAGAATGGCAGACAGGGAAGGGTGGGGCGGAATGATGATAGGGAATACCTGGCTCTGTTTGTAACGGGATAGTGGCTTACTACTTACTGAATCCTACACAAAATATACAGTGTCCTCCACTATTTTAAAACATACTACTAATAATAGTAATTCTTATTGTAGAATTGACATTTCAAACCTCATCACACTGCATACAAATGGCATGAAATTATCATCTTGGAAATCTAGCTAAAGCATTTTGTATTTTTAACCCAAAATCTCTTGTATTTTATATATTTTAAAACTTTTGGATGACAAACTTGTATTTTTGAATGCACACAAGTAAATATCAATGACAAATTATTTGAAAGTCCACATGAGTTGTACAGATTATTTTATTGATGCGTCTTTTTGTCATATTTGGAATTTGACAGCCTATGTTCCTATTTGATTCACTTTTATTGTACAGCAAAAAGCCGATTGGCCATTCTGCTCTTTTGTTGGTTCCACTGAAGATTTGAAATAACATGAGATTCGATAAACAATGACAGAATTCTTGGTAAGCTATTCCTTTAAGGATCAGTGAAACATGCCAGAAATATTTCCTTTCTGCACCGATCACTCCACAGCCACAAAGCACAACATAAACACTATTAAATGCCTTTCACTCAGAGATTAATGGCTCTCACACATCCAGACACCCCGAGACAGGCCTGATACTCTTCCAAATTATGCTGACAGACCTTGAGTGCAGGCTGACAAAGATTTTATGGCTGCATGTGTGCATGTTAAGAAATCTTACTCTGTGTGTGTGTGTGTGTGTGTGTGTGTAAAGTTGCATTGATATAGAAGCCATCCTGATAAATCAACTCCAAGCTGTCATTACATATAAACAGTGGTTGAAGGAACGTAAACGTTTACCTCCAGTATCACTGTATATATCTGAGATGGAGCAGTGTGTCTATTTAGGCTGACCCAGGATCAGCTACCCTAACAAAATCCAAAGCTCGTATAAGAGAAATAGCAGAAGAAGCGTCAGACAAGATGAAGCCCGCAGCGATCCGTTCTGCCCCATCAAACTAACAGCTCACCACTAATGGAAACCTCAAGAGCTCTTTTAGACAAATAGTTTATAGAGGCGAAAGCTGTTAATCAACCGTTTTTACGACCAAATCTGTTTCACGCCACATCGATCAGCTTAAGCGTCCGCCATGATTTAGATTCGAGGGTCTTAAGAGAGGAATCGGGTGTCTGGATGAGGCCGGCAATCAGCGAAAGAAAACAACCCAAGTCCAAACCGAGCCAGACACACGAGAGAATCTGAGTGGATTTATGAGGTGCTTAATCAGTTTTCCAAAAGCTTTCAAACAAGTTGAAGAGCTTCGATATTTGTGAGAGAACTTGGCATAAGCAAGCTCATCTCTGCCATTAAACTACAACAGCCATTGAAGATGAGAGTACAGGCCAATTTTTAGACTTTTTTTTTTTGTTTTGTTTTGTTTTTTTTGGTGCTGTGAAAGCAGGAAGAAACAGCTGTGTTCGAACGCCAGCAAAATGTGGCGCACACACACATCCTGTTTATTTGCGCCTGGGTTGCTTTTTATATGCGTTTTGACGTCGACCACCCAAGGAGACTTGATTATTGAACCTCAAAACCTCTGTACAAAACCCAACCAAAACAAGTAGACCTGTTTGTTTGTTTTTCTCCATTGACATTGGCTTCTGAGTTGCATTAGACTATGACCTTGTGTAAAACACAATGATCTCTATAATAGTACAATCTACACTTTTTTTTTTTTTTTTTTTTTTTTTTTTTTTCTTCTTTCCAAAGATATTATAAAGTATTTTTATTTACAATGAAATCATCAAAATTCAACCGTTTTATGTTGATGATTGTTTGAATACCAAATCAGCATATTGGAATAAAATAAAGCATTTTATTTTATATAGCTATATTGATATTTCAGCACATGTGCCTGCATCCAGACGTGCTGGTATAGCTCTGCTGCATTTGCGACCAAGAGAGGCTGTTTAAAAGCACTTCAAAACATTGCAACAGTAAGCTGATAGGAATCCCTGAGGGAAGCACTTCTGTATAGCGTAAAGCGGGCACTCCGCGTTCGGGATTAAGAAGGATCACTCCACCCGACAGCGTCACGGCGAACACACTAATTCACCCGCACAAATTTAGACCTGTCAGCGTGACCTAATGCGAACGGCTGTCACCGGCCTGTTAGTTTGCTAGTTTGCTTTTTGATGTTCTTCATCCTTTAAGATTTTGGTGTCGGCACAGATTCAGGCTGCAAATGATAGTCAGGTGTGCTACCCAAGTCCACAAAAGAATCGCGTCATTGGTTGCTAATGTGTGAAGGAAACGTGTATGTAATGGGGTGAGTCAACATCACTAAACCGTGTTTTTGGGTAATGAGTTATTATTTTAAAAAGAGCCTATTGTGAGGGTCTAAGAGAAGGGGGAAATGCTAGTGAAAAACACAATTCTGACAGTTTTGGGGTTGTCGTCATAAGCTGACACTGTGTTTTGTTCTCTGTTGATGACTGTAGATTACAGTGATTTGTTTTTAATGAGCAGGCCACTTCAATCAATTGAATTCCTGTCATTCACAAAGCTGAACACATCCCCCATCCCTCGCATGTTCACTTATGAAATGTTTTGCTAATTTCCATTCAGTCAGTGTAACACATTTTACTCCTAAATTAGCATTGAAATTGTCTGAAGATCTGTGAGGTAACAGTTTAAAGAGTTTAAGGAGTTCTTGTTAGATTTTGCTTAACGTGATGGAAGTCTGAGATGGGTAATAACTAAGACACATTAGTCATTGCATTGTTCTTTCAAAGTGAAACCTTCTCCTGTAAGAGAATGTGAAAGGCGATGAGCTATGATATTTCTCAAATGTTCTCATTTCAGTTGTGTGCTTTATTTGGGACAAATAGGCCTACAGTGTCTTGCGAAAGAAGTGTTTTTTTTGTTTGTTTGTTTTTTTTCACGTTTTGTTCGTTTTTCACATTAGTCTACACTCCATACACCATAATGACAAAGCAAAAAAAATATATAATAAATATATATATATATATATATATATAAGGAATACCTGAAATAAGTACTTTGCAAAAATAATCATACCCTTAACTGTCTTTTTGAGTATGATGCCACAAGCTTTTAACATCTGCATTTGGCAATTGTCTGCCATTCTTCTCCTCACCTCTTCACCTCTGAAGCTCTGTGAGGTTGGATGGGCGCTGGCAGACATTTTCAGACTTGTATAGAAATGTTCGATTGAGTTGGGTTCTGGCCACCCAAGGACATTCACGGAGTTGTCCATTAGCCACTCTTGCGGTGCGCTTAGGGTCTTTGTCCTGTTTGAAGGTAAACCTTCTGCCCAGTCTGAGGTTCTGAATGCTCTGGACTAGGTTTTCATTAAGGCTGTCTCAATATTTTGGTGCATTGAGGTGTTCCGGAGCGGTATACCGAATAATAAAAGCATTAGCAATTAATCGCAACATGAAAATTTGATACCGGCATATCCCTAATCCACATTGACCGCCACAAATATCCACTGCCCGCTGCCATCAGCTCCCGCGTCTCTCACACACGAGCGCGACTTTCAGACCTTTTTAGCGGCTTTTTTTCCATAGCTAAGGTTTATCCAAAAAAGTCGCTAGGTTTGTCAGTATGAATATTCTATGGTTCAGTTGGAAGATTTTGCCAGTGCTGTCCCACGAACGCGAGGTCTGACTTTCCCGGAGAAGTGTCACCTCTCTCGGCGTCTGTTCTGTGCAGTGAGCGGCAGAGAAGCAGCGCATTCAGTTGGCCGCACCGCA